AAATACCGGGGTTTTCTGGCAGGCGGTATTTCAAACGCCTCGTCCCCACTCCCCTTTTTGGATCGCGGCTCCGCCGCCAAAACGTTAATCACACAATACCGCCAGGTCGAAGACGACGTCACTGAATGTAAACGTCTAATTTCATTGACGATGAAGAATTTTTTTGTGTTGTCTGACCTTTTCGAGTGGAAAAACACCTACTTTCCGTACGAAATTATTCAACTTTCAACTTGAATGAGATGACCGAGTCCGAGTGTCTGTCAGAGTTTAGATTTCGAAAAAGGGACATTCTGATGTGATGGCTGTTTTCCAGATAAAGTTTATTTTCTCTATATTACAGATATAAGATTTTGCCTTACCTAAATACGTACAAATAAATTTATCACTTTGTTTATCACTTTATCATTCGGCCTCCACAGCTGTTGTCATTCCTCGAAGTAAAATCAATTCATTAGTCGAATTTTCAATCAACATCGCTTATTAGGAGAAAAAAGGAACGATACCTGGATTTACGAGGATAAGAAAATGCAAAGGACTTCAAAAATTGCTTAAAACGGTGGATTTGTACCTGCCGAAGCTTGTGGATTGCAGCACAACGTGATTCTACTTTGTTTGACGTCGTCGACGACACCGCGACGACGAAATTTACTGGTCGCGCTTGCGCAGTACACTGTAACCCACTTCCGGTCGTCGTCGACCTAGTCGTCGTCGTGGTTCTTAAGTTCCCTAGTAATTGTTTTATTATACATTGTTTTGACGAAAATAACGACAAACACACGGTCGCAAGGAGCCTGAATTGATATTGTTACTGGAGTCGTACAAGTCATACAAGGCTCACAGCAGGGGGGGCTGGCAGCGAGGTCTGGAACCGAGTTTACATGATCGCCCCAGTTAAGAAATTGGCCGAGTGAGATTGAGTACCATTTTCCTTCAAAACAAATATGGCGGAAAATGCAGACATGGAAGGACGATGAGTTTTTGTTCGGTTTTGAGTTTTCCCGCGTCCAAACATCAAGAAAAGGTTTTTAAGAACATTTTTAATGGAATTTTTGGACATCAGGAGGCGTGATGTATGAACAGTTCATGGCTGACTACACTTATCCTGATTCGGAATCTCGGCAAGTTCAGTTATTTATAAGCTTCGTGAATTTTCGAGCAACCAGCCTAGTCTCCATCTCTAATATTTTTCAACCTACAGTGGTGTTAAGAACTCTCTTCCTTATCCTAAACATATGCTACGAGCTCACTATATTAGTATGAGTCTTGCAACAGTCATATGGGAATGTTCATTAAACCAATTTTCTACTTCGCTGTTCGTAAGTTTGTTTCTAAACTGGGAGCCACAACAAATATTTATGGACGAAAATACAGAATACAGGGCCAATTTAGTAGAAAGCCAGGGTAAATTTCCCAGTCACTTTGCCTCACATATACTGGGTCTGTCAGTCAGTATAAGCTATTTTTAATATCAGAAGGCTGGAAGGGTTTTACTGAACCTTCAAAACCTCACCGGAATATCATTGGAGAGATAATCAATAAATTTCGAACAGCAATACTGTATTTAGTAGTTTTGTATCAGATAGTCACTTTGGTTTCAAGTATTTTCTTGAAGTTGTCTGTACAAAAATTACCCTGTAGTTCTGAATTTTACTAATGGTTTAGTGTGGGGACAAGAGGCTTATCCAGTTGCTAATGAGAGTGAGTACATCAGAGATGGGTATGCATTGAGAAAATCCCTCAAAGGAATGAAGTACAAGAAACAGAAAAAAGAAAACTGAATGTTTTGCAAAGTTTATAAAGAGAATCAGAAGGAGCTTAAAAAATGTACAACTTCAATTGTTTGTGTAAGTTATCAATTTGAATTACAACAAAAACAAACAAGGTAAAATTGATTTTTTATCAACCATCAAAAGAAGTGTCCTACTACCCATACTCGCTTTCAGTGCAAGCCCAGGGAGGTGATCTCACATTTTTTAAAATACCCTTTTACCGCTTGTTGTAACAGCAAAGTCAGTGAATGTTTATGGTCTCTGAAAAAGATTTTTGCCTGCCTAAACACAAGTTTCTAACTGTTATTCTCAACTGCAAATAAATATATTTTCCTAATAATATGATTTTACATTTATTTTCCAAGGCATCCTATGGTGTTTTTCATATCCATGTACAACGCAATTCTTAAGTTGAGAGGATTTGATTTCATTAACTACATTTATGTACAGCCACAAACTAACCTGGCAGGTTGATGTCCACAGGGGTAAAAAATTACATGCAACTGTATGGCAAAAACTGATCACAGTGGCCAAGGGAAAGGTAAAAATAGAAATGTCACCATTTTCCTGACTTTATAAATTCCCTTTGAAGCATATTTAGCCAGATGTGGTCCTTGTCAAAACATGCAAACTTGAACATTTATTTTCTGAACCTAGCTAATCCCATCTTTTTTAAACCATAATCCTGCTCCAAGGGGTAGCGTAGCTTTTGGAATTTATAATTTTTCCCTCTTTATTTGCAACAAAACACACTTGAATGAGGACTCAAACTGAAG